AGATAAAAGACAAAATATGTTTTGTAATATCTGTTTTTCAATTCTTTATTAAGTATTTTACACTAATTATTATAATAATTGAAACAAGAAGCAAACATAAATTTAATTCCAATTCCCTCCAAAATTTAATCAAATTTTTACAGGGTATTCACAGCAGAAATCGCAGTGGAGAAAACACAGCAGCTAAAACAATTGTACTACATGAATTTTAAGTGCGGCCAAAGTTTTGCAGCGCCGCCGAACACAGTAAACTCTAAATGAAATCAGTTTCGGTTCAGCTCTCTGTTTTGCCATGTTTTACTATGTGTTTTGTTTTCTTTTTCATTTTCATTTCCATTTGGTTTTTGCTGCTGGATCATGGGGCGTATGATAAATGTGACGTAATACGCTTAGTTTGGTTCATTCAGATTGTCGCCTTTTTGTTTTGGTTTTTGTTGTTGTACTTCAATTCAATGAATTCGCTTGAATGCATTTGCTGGATATTCCCATTTTAGCAGCAAAGCACACACACTTACGCACACACACACACACCTCTCTATTAACTCTGTTGTTGGGGTAATTTTCACACCTGCTGTCCGCTTTATCAGTGACAGGTGCGAGTACTTACCCTTGGCTTTATTTGCGATATCTCTGCTAACCCACTCAAATATCTAAACACCCATTCTCATTTCATTATTTGCCTTCTCTTTCTCCTAATTTTTTTTTTTTTGTCATTTCAGCTTTTGGTTCAGTTTCATTTGATTTTCTGCCGTGTTGAGTTTGGGTTTTTGGCTTTTTGTAATTAAGTTTGGAACCCTTTTTCAAGTGTTTTGCCCATTGGCCATTCAGTTATGCATGATGCGTGCATTTAATTTACAGCAAACTTTTTGTTTTTCAAGTGTTATTGGATAACTTTTCCGAAAAGTCATGGCGTAAAATGAATTTATCATAGCAAACAAAACTCTGTGTATAAGCTCCAAAATGTTTATGCACCATCATTTTTCTGAAAGCCAAACACACTGTGTGCCAAGTCCCCAGACAGAAGTAGAAAATATGTTAGTTGGATTTGGCCAAGCAACGTGCAGATATTCTGTAATATTTTCTTGTATGTTGTTTGTTTAAAGTGCTGTTAGCCTAAGTAGAATAGTTTGTATATAATATCTGGGCAATTCTAGAATGAGGTATTAGAATAGTAATTTAAAGAGTTTCTCTTGATATAAATTCTATGCAAATAAACTGGCTAGCAGTAACCGCAGAGCCCCAGGGGAAGCTGATGAACTTGAAATACTATTGCAAAAGCAGAATAGATGGACTAGAAAAGAATAGCTTAGGATAGGGAAAGAAGAAGCATAATTTAAAGCTGTATATGCTGGCTTTACAATCATTAGTTAAATCTTAAGAGGCCATATAGAATTTAAAACATGACTATAAACTAAATTATAGAATCTGGGTTATGGTGTAACACTTATCAGCAAATAATATATATAAAGAGCTGAATTATATTGGAGCTGTATAGAATAGGTTAGGGCATATCTTATGCCGCAATTAGGAACCTGACTAGATGAGAGCCTGAATTAAATTTTAAATGTGATGAAAATTAAATATGTTTTTTTCTTACATATAGATTTCTCTTTCTCTTATTAGGAAATGGTAAAATTTGGCTTGATAAGACTTTTAACTTTATTTAAAATGTAATGAAAAGAATAAATGCTTTCTTCCTTATTTTTCATTTGACGTGATTTAAAAATTATATCATTGTTACATTTTCGATACATTAAACATATTTAAAAATTGTCCAATATTCACAAACAGTTTCTCATATATATTTCATAAATTTTGACTTCACTCTAAACTATTGCAATAATTTGTTGTTTACAGGGTATTCAACTGCTTATGCTGCAATATTTGTTTAGCTTCAACTATTGCTTCGAGTGTGCCATATCTGTGGGCATAAGCAAAAAAGGCCAAGAGACGAGGGGCATTAAATATGAACAGAGTGAATACATTTTTAACGTTAAGTGAATTTTCAAGGTGACTTCAGAGACGTCAAATTGAAAAGCTGAGCATGCTCTAAGGCACAGCACATATGTATGTCTATGTGTGTATGTACATATGTAAATTATTGAGGCGTGAATGCAAATCTGTTCACACGTTGCTGCGCACACACGGGCAATTCGTAATGTCAACTACTACTGATCATTATATGAATATATTGTATATATATATATTTCTTTTTTGTGTCCATGAATAAGTCTATCTCTCTCTCTCTCTCTCTCTCTCTCTCTCTCTCTCTCTCTCTCTCTCTCTCTATCTGCCTGTCTGTGTGTGTGTGTGGCAGACACTGAAATTTTTGTAAATTAAGATTTACAATGATTTGCATTTCAAATTTGCGCTATGTTGTGCCTTGTTGTCTATCTCGCTCCCTCTCTTTCTCTCTCTCCTTCTCTTTCTCTTTGCCCTCTGCCTGATGTCACTTGCTGGCTTTTTTATAGCCTTTGGGTGCGCGTTTTACATTTGTCATTTTGTTGAAACACGCATAAATCTTGAACAATGTTTCACATACTCTCATACAGACTCTCTGTCTGTCTCCTTCTCTCACACACACACACAGACAATCAGTGTGCTGTCTTCTGTGATTTGTGCGCTGACTAATTTGCCCGACTATTCTACGTATCTTTCAAAATTTCTCTAAATTACACACATTTGCCTAATGTGTCTTGGTGAATTGCGCTGCCTGCTCTGGGCTAATATTGCATTTATTGTTTAATGCACGAGGCGGACTAATGTGTTGCTTAGATAAGACTCAAATGCGAAAAGCTGCTGAAAATTGAATTTTTGAATAAATAGTTATGAAGATTTGTCAATGTGACATGATGTAGATATGTATATGACTACCAAAAATTTATGATGCTCAAGCATGGGCATATAAGTAAAGACCACGGCAGTAGGCCATGATTAATTGAACTAAAAAATTATCATCGCTTTTCGGAATTTTGTGAAAAGCTGCTTTTATTTTGTGTTTTTGTTTTTTTTTTTTTTTTAATGCCATATTAGTTTTTAAGAATTATTAGATAATTAAATTAAATAATTTAA